GGCGAGCGTGTGCGGTGTGACCCTCGAGCCAACCCGACCGACCCCCCCCTCGGTCTGCGCTCCGACCGACCGGACCCCCCCTCCGGTCTGCGGTCCTCCGCGGCCGCCGACCGGACGCCCCCTGCGGTCGGTCGGTCTGCGCTGGGCGCTGAAACCGCGAACTCGGCCCGTTCACTACAAGATGACGCTCGTATTAGTGCCAGTGCGCGCCAGTCCCGTGCCCAGTGTTGTGCGAGGGAGTTTTGTTGTAAAATTCTTTTTCCGAGGTGTCTTTTGGCATGTGAGCGCTGGCTGGAGACGCCAGGAAGCTCGTCTTCCATGTCTGCGGCCGCGGGCGTGCGGGCGGGCGCGCCAGGCTCGGCGACGCTCCGCGCGGGTCTTCGAGCTCGCGGCCCGCGACGAGCCAGCATGGCTCGTCGCTCGACGGGAGCCTGCCCAGCATGCTCTCGGCACTCTGTACAGCCTCGCCAAGCTCTCTGGGAAGGTCTACAGGGCCAGGGCGGGCCGCCTCGGGCGCGATGGCGCGCGATCGGGTCGCCGGCAGCGGGCTTGCGCTGCGCGCTGCTCGACGGCAGGCTGCTCCCCACCCTTTCAACAGTGTCTTTTACATCGCTTCTCTCGCTGCAACCGCCTCCGGGGGCCGGCGCCGACCGCCTCGCTTCGCCAGCACTGCCTACGCCTGCAACACGCGCGTCGGCTCGCCGCCCGCGTCGCCAGCGGCGGGCCCGCGTGGCGCGCTGCTCGTCGGGAGCGTGCTCAGCAGGCTGTGCAGCGCAGCCTGACTCACTCAGAGCGCCGCTGATGCGGTGTGGGGCCGGCGGCGGCGCTGCTGCCGCGCACGCTGCGCTGTGGGCGTCACCATCGTGTCCTCGCCGCGTCGCCGACGCCACTTGCCGCTCGCGGCTGCCCTGCCCTTCCCTCCATCGCGCAAACAAACAAACACACACACACACACACACACACACACACACACACACACACACACACACACACTATTAATCATCGGGTATTAATTATTAATTCTTAATCGTCGGGCGGCGGCGCGGCGCGGCGGGGGTGGCGGCGGTTTAGAAGCCTGCATTGAAAGCTCGCTGAAGACCGTTGCCGACTGTTACATGTACACGTTGTAGAGCTCTACATGAGAGCGAGGCTGCTCTCAATCCTAGCCGTCTAGAAAAGAAGGTTCACCCGCCGTGTGCGTTGAGCGGCCCAAAAAAAAATTTTTAGCACATGCAGTACTCCCGCCGTCTAACTGCCATGTCACGGCCGGTCGGCTGGTGCTCTCGCCTCGCTGGCGGCGCGGTCTGGTGCCGCGGCGCCCAGCTCTCCTGTGGGCTCGCGGCGGCTCGCCGCCGCGGTGCCGAACAATGTGATCAGTCCGGATTCGTCCCGGCGTGCCGCCGGTGCCGCTTCCTCGCCGATTTTTGGCTCGACCAGTTTGTCGACAAAGTTGCCTCCGAGCTCCTGCTGCTCGACTGCGCGGCGGAACCGGCCCATCGCGGCTGAGACGTGATGCGCCGGCACCGGGGCAACGGCGCGGGACCATTTCCAGGCTCTCTCGAGCAACCTCAAATTTGGCCGATTTTGTGGATCTCAACCCTGCTGCTCTCTGACCACAACCTCGCGGCCCGCTGCGCGGCTCTCCGAGCGCGAGAGGAGTCGTCTACGAGGCGGCGGCGAGCGCAGGCGGCGGCGGCGCGGCGGCGCGGCGGCGGATCGCGGCGCAGACAACGGCAGCAATCTGGCTGCTGCTTGCTGCTGCAGCAGCTGCTGCTGCGGCTGCTGCTCCGCTGCCGCTGATTGTGGACACGATTCCCCCGATAACCCTGCCCGCCCGCTCCGCCCCGCCCGCCCGCCGCTCCCCGCTTGCTTGCCCGCCCGCCCGCCCGCCCGCCCGCCCGCCCGCCCGCCCGCCCGCCCGACCACCCATTCCCATCACCATCTCACATACCTTCATATAGGCGCTCGAGACCTCCACTCGCTGCCTACTCGCTGCCTCGAGGGAGGAGGGGAAGACGTTGGGCGCGCGCAACTGCGCTCGCCTGCACGGAGGCCCCTCCCCGAAAGGCAAGTGTTAGCCACAAGAAACCGAGACCCCTCCCCACCGCCCTGATCCCCCCACCCCCTTGCTCCCCTCCCCCCCTCGGGAGGGCCGAACTGAGGCGCCCGTGGGGACCCCGCACTTCCCTTCCCCCCTCGGAGGGCCGGACTGAGGCGTCGAGGGCCCCGCTCTTTCCCTCGCATAGCGGCCACTCTTCGGATCGCTGGTCGAGCGACCCGGGGGATGCCCCGCGCGCCTGACCCAGGCGCGAAAACGAATCTGCGAGGCGTGGCCGCTCACGCGGCCCGATGGGGAGGAACGGGGCGAGCCCCCTCCAACCCACCCGCGCTAGGTCTCGGGGGACGCAGGGGTCACTCCCGCGCGACCTCGGGAACTAGCCGGGGCAGTCGGAGAAGTGGCAACTCCGTGCACTGACGGTCGGCCGCCAGAAAACACGCCTCCGTGGCTCGGGTTACACCAATCCTCGCTACCCAACGCGGCCAAAGGATATCCACCTCGAGAACCTCGAGACATGCAGTACCTCTACTCACCCCCCACACTCCCGTCTCGCTCGCGGTGTTCAGCGATACACTCGTTTACGTCCCCTCCGAGCCTGACACAGAGCTCAGCGCGAGCCCCGCAAAAACAGGCAGGAATAGCCGTCGACGCGTTCCGTGTTTGGGCGCGGTTTGCTGGAATTCTTCTGGCTCACCCTCGCCGAAGCCTTCGTCAGCGAGGCATCCCGGCGGGGCGGCCGCTACAAGACTGGCAGGTGCAAGAACCACAAGTGCTGGCGCGAGGCGATTCGTTTCGTCGCAGTCAGCCAGGAGGGGGCTGGCGCCTTCCTGAATGCGATCCCCATGCGGGATGATATGAAGATGGAGACGTGGGCGATGCGCATTACAGTTCAGCGCCGCCTCGGCCTCCCGCTCGATGTTGCCTGCCAGGCGGTGGAGGCGGGCAAGAAGGCGCCAAACGGCAAGCCGCACGAAGAACTCGGCGATGCCGCAATGGTCAACCCGCGTGCGAAGCACGCGACACGACACAAATACCTGCTCAAACGACTCGTCAAGACCCTTCGCTCGGCGTGGGGCATGCTCATCGAGATGGAGCCGACTGCACACCTCAGTTACAGTAACCCAAAACAACCTGACGTGGCGGCGGCGAACATCGGCAAAGGGCATGTGCGCCTCGTTGGCGACTTGAAACTCACGAGCTCGCTTGCTTGCGTGCAAGGGTGGCGATCGGCTCGGCTGGAAGGGGGCTTTTGTCGCCTTCGGCAACACCGAGCGGGCGCTGCTCGACTTAGTGTTAGGGCATACTGCATGGCCGCGGCCGGAGGGGGGGGGGGAAGGGGGGAGGGAGGCGGAGGATGCAGAGGCGGATGCGGCGGCGGCGGAAGAGGAGGAGGGGGAGAGTGAGGGGGAGGCGGCGGCGGGGGCACCTGTGACGGCCCGCTACGAGAAGGGCGACTACCGGTTCGCGCGGGAGAAGAATTGCGACCTGCGTTTGCTCGACTTCGAGACGTTCGGCGGCTTCGGGGACGGCGTCCGCAAAATTCTTCGGCAGGCGGCGGACCAGCTGAGTAACAAACTTTCGCACGCTCAGCACCTCGATGAGGTCACATGGACCACCAAGAACTGGCACGGGCTGCAGATGCAGCGCTTGTCTGTCGTTCTCCACACCGCCGTGGCGTGGCAGACGGTGAACGAGCTAGCGTGCGGGGACAGCGGCATTGTGCACGGTGCTAAGTGCATTGCCGCTCTTAACGGAGGGTCGCTTAGGCGGCTCCGGTGGTGTGCCGGTGATAGTACTAGCACGCGCCAGTTCGCACCTGTGTCGAGCCTGTCTGCTGTGAGAGAGAGTTCTGTTGTTTAAATTCTTTTGGTTTGAAGTGCCACGGACGGCCCGCGATGTGTCACCGTTCAAGTTAAAAAGTCGTAACTTCTTTTTTGGACGCAAAGGGTTCTTATGGACGCAAACGAGGTGTTATAACACCATAAGAAGTTAAAAAGGCGTAACTTCAACGGTGACACCTCGCGGGCCGTCTTTCGCTCGCTGGAGGCTCCTTTACGCTTTAGCGCCGTCTGTCGCGGGGGAAGGTGACTGCACCAAAACCCGCGAAGAATCGAGAAGGGAACTTGAGATTGGCCTGCGCCGCATTTAGATATAGTGTCCAGTGGTCGAATTGTGTCGGCGGGCCGAGTGTCGTTTCGCCTCTGTCTCCTCTTACCTCTAGCTCTACGCTCTAGTACGGCTTCACACAGAGGGTGGAGGGTGAAAAGGGCGGAAAAGGAGGGTAGCGACCCACTTCGCCACAGACGGTCCCGCGCCTCGCCACTATGACGGCGACACGGCCGCAGCTCGTGTGCGTGTCGCCGTCTTTGTCCGGAGTGAAAAGTCCAACGCGCTCGTCGGTGGCGGCTTCCCTCAACCTGCGCCGCGCTCGGCGAACCTCGACAGCGCCTTCGGTGGCATGCAGCTCTTTGCGCCTGAAGCCTGGAAAGCAGCTCCTCTGCTGCTCACACACTCTGCACAGCTGACATAGCCTACTGTGCGGCTGCCACAGCTGTGACAGCGATGGGCTCGCCCTCACTGGCCCTCAGTCACTTGTGCTGCGGCTTGTGTGAGCGACACTGCTCGGCGACTGCCGGCACACTGTGAGACCATGGGTGTGAGGTTAAACCACGCTACCAGCGCTTGGTCACATCAGCCCTGAGGTCAGATCCTTCTACTCTGTTAGTGACAAGACTTGTCTACTCGCTGGAGCCGAGCAGGAGGGCCCGGCGCACAACCCCTGGTCAACTCACCGAACCCTCCACACCCCGTAGGGGAACTATAGGTGTAGCCTAGTAGAGATGTCCGTGTTTTTATTTGTTTATTTGGTGTGGAGAAGTTTAGAGTCGTTAGACCTTACCTGTGCTGACTTCCGTACTCGCTGGTGAAAAACAGCGTAGCTTCAAGGAGGAAGCGCTGGCGGCGCAGCGGGCGGCACGTCGGCGGCGTCGGCCAGGAAAACGAGGCAGCCCGCCGAGACGACGCAGCCCACGACGAGGGTGAGGCCGCCGCCGAGGGCCATGAAGTCTGTGAAGGCGTACCCCCCGCGGCCGAGCACCATGAGGTTGGTCTGGTAGCCGATCGGCGTCGCAAAGGCGGAGGAGCCGCCGAGCATCATCGCGACCATCAGCTGCTCCGAGTTGAGGCCCGGCACGCGCACGTCGCGGAGGACCGAGTAGAAGGCGACGACGGCGGCCGAGTTGGAGACGAAGCACGAGAGGGCGGAGGTCGTGAGGTAGATGCAAAGCAAGAAGCCGAACGACCCCAGCACCTGCAGCTCCACCAAGCCTGCGCCGAGCGCGGCGGCGACGCCCGTGTTGGTCAGAGCGGCGCCGGGCCCAAAGGAGCACGCGATCGTCAGCACGAGGCGGTACGAGATGGAGCGCCAGGCCTGGGCGAGGGAGAGGCAGCCTCGGCTGAGCTGCGGACGCAGCCTCGGCGGATCTCGAAAGAGCTCGTGCGATCTCGTGCCATGCCTGGTCGAGGGAGATGCAGCCGATCGAGACGAGGGCGTAGGCGATGGAGAGGGCGAGCGGCAGCAGGCTGACGAGGTCCAGCGCGGAGCAGACGAGCAGCAGCAGCAGCGCAGACAGCGACGCCGCGAGCTTGAGCCGCTCCTAATTAATTGATCACCTCCTGGTTAATTAATCACGAATTCGTTAATTCGGCGCGAGCTTGAGCCGCTCCTGGACCACCGCCTCAACGGAGCGTGGCCGCCACGGCTGGGCGACGCGGCGCAGGAGGGCGAAGTGGTGCAAGATGCGGTTCGCCTGCACCCAGCTGTCGGGCGCCTCGAGAAGCAGCGTGTCTCCGGGCCGCAGCGGCAAGCCCTGCATGAGCTGAGGCCAGCCAGTCCCGACCCGCGGCCGCAAGCCCGGGGAGAAGCCGCGCGCAAGTCCGACCAGCCCAACCACCGGCGCGGACCTGGAGATGTGGGGAGATGTGGGGAGATGTGGGGAGATGTGGCGAGATGTGGGGAGATGTGGGGAGATGTGGGGAGATGTAACACGGACCGCGACGGGCGGATCGGCGTAGGAGAGCCCGGCGGCACCGGACCGCGCCTCGCAGAGCCGGCGCCGGCAGTGCCGCCGGCGGCGGCAGTAATGCCGCCGGCGGCGGCAGTAGTGCCGCCGGCAGGGAGGGCGACGGCAAGGTCGGCGGTGGCCGCCCGGGCGCGGTGGTGTGCGGGCGGCACGCCCGCCCCCGGCGAGCGCGCCGCCGCGGGCGGTTGGAGCGGCGGCTCGGAAGGGAGCGGGGCGAGGAAGGACGCCGGGCGCGGAAGCGCCGCCCCCTCCGGCCTCGCGCTGCCCCCGCCTCCACCCCCTCGCGCCTCGCCGCCGCCGCCGCCCGCCGGGCCGCCGCCGCCCTCCCACTGCGAAGCACCGTCCTCGGCCTCCTCGATGCGTGCGTGGCCGACGGGAGCGGCGACTGCGTGATCGCTCGCAGCTGCGACTCTTCGAGCGGCGCCTACAATCTCGCCGAATCTCGAGGGTGAGCTCCCGGCCGAGATCTCGGGGGCTCGGAAACGCAGAGACAAAGAAGGACGTGCGGCGTCGCCGGGCGAGAGCTGCGCGGAGGAGGACGAGGAGGAGGAGCAGGAGGAGGAGCGGCGGAGGAGGGAGAGCGGCCCGCGCGCCGCCGCAGCCTCGCGCGGCGGCGCGCTGCTCTCCGCCTCCTCCTCGTCGAGAAGAAAGGCGTCGTCGCCGTCGGCGCTGCGCTCTGCCGGTCTCGTGTCGGCGCGTCGGCGCACAGCCCACACGTCGGCACCGCGCAGCACCGCGCACTCGGCCGCCTCCGACAAACGCAGGCCGACGAGGGGGGACTCGAGGGCGACGGCGGCCTCGACCAGCACCAGGTGGGCTGAGCGCGCGGCCGGGTAGCTCGGCGTCGACGCCTCGGGAGATATGGGGGAGATGTGGGGAGGTTGAACCTCGGGCCGGAGAGTGAGGCCTCGGATGCGGCGGAGATATAGGGAGATATGGGGGAGATGTGGGGAGGTTGCACCTCGGGCCGGAGAGTGAGGCCTCGGATGCGGCGGAGGTCATACACGGCCTGGGGGAGGCACCTAAAGTAGGACCACGCCCGCCCCTGCTTCTGTTTTTCGAAGGCCGTCCACCGCCGCGGCGAGGCCCCAGAGCAGCACCCGGTCGTTGGGCTGGAGCCGAATCCCGGGCCCCGCCGCTTCCTCCTGGTTAAGCAGGGAGCCAGCGGGGATCAGGAATCGCCCCCCACACAAGGTCGGACAGGGGGGGTCCACCCTTTCGCCCAGCCGGGCCTACTTAGGTACTCTCGGACGATTTCGGACGATTTCGGCGAGATTTGGGGGAGACCTCGGGGGCAGCCCGCCGAACCTCGGACGATTTCGGCGAGATTTCGGCGAGATTTCAGCTAGATTTTGGGGCAGAATCCCTCCCCCCCCCCCCCCCCTCTCCTCTCCCCCTCTCTCTCCCCCCCCAGCCGCGCCGGCGTGCAGCCGAGCAGCTGCGAGCAGTCGGGTCCGACGACAGCCTCGAGCGCGTAGCGAGGGCTGCCTCTCGACCCGAAACGGGCGGGGCCTCGGCCGGCCGGCGAGAAGGGCTGCGAGATGGGCGACGCGGGGACGGCGTCGACGGCACCATTGCTGCTGCTGTGCGCGGCTGCGGACAGCTCAAGTGTTCCTGGGAGTGGGTAGCTCGCCGTTGTAAGGCACGGGAGCTGCTCATGAACCACTCAGTGCGCGTCAGGCTGCGGTTGGGTGGGGGTGGGTGGGTTCGGGTACCGTGGGGTAGGGGAGGGTGGGTCAGGCACGCATGGAGCCGAGACGGCAGAAGGCCATTCTTGTCAAGTATGATTTATGATTCTAAATGATTGACAATTTCCCATTCATTATTGGGCAGCGGTTGCGTGCCTGGCGCCGAGACGGGAGAAGGCCTAGTACCATACCTCCAGAGTCTCGAACCCAGTGTGGGTTCAGCTCCATGGGTGGTGTGGTAGAAGGTTGCCGCCCGGCGGCGGAGCTGCGCCGGCGCGCCGCCGGGAGCAGGTAGAGCCTCTGCAGGACCGAGCGACGCGCGCGGCGTAGTGCGGCGGTGGGGCCTCCTGCCTACGCGGTGAGTGGGCACGCCTCAGGGGGGGGAGGGAGGTAGGGAGAGTGCGTGTCCTCTCGAGGGCTAGTTGGAATACGGGACCGCGTCTTCCGCTTCTAGGGCACGAGATACGGGGAGATACGGGGAGATGCGGGGAGACACGGGGAGATACGGGGAGGTATGGGGAGATCTGGGGAGATCTGGGGAAGATACGGGGAGACCTGGGGAGATACGGGGAGATACGGGGAGACACGGGGAGATCTGGGGAGATACGGGGAGATACGGAGAGATCTGGGGAGATCCAAGGAGACCTGGGGAGATCTGGGGAGATCTGGGGCCTGCTGCCTGGCTGGTGGCGCGGAAGGCGAGAGGCGAGGCGAGGGAGAGGTAGAGGAGGCCGACGGCGGCGGCGGGGAAGGCCACGAGTGTCCTCGAAAACATCGAGAGCCTAGTACCATACCTCCTCAGTCTCGAATCCAGTGTGGGTTCAGCTCCCGGGGTGGTGGTGTAGAAGGTTGCGGAGGCAACGGCGCTTCGGCGTTCGCTTCTATTCTGGCGAGTTGAGGACA